AAACCAAGCCTAGAACAGCGATGTCCAGGCCTAGGACAGCGCTGTCTAGGTGATCTTCAGCAGACCCATTTTTAATCAAATCCCACAAATTGTGCCAATCACCCCTTAAATGTTTTAGTCCGTTGGAGCCTATTTTTCCACTATAAAATGGGGTGTTTGGGTCTGTTTTACACATCACATTACTTCACAACTTCTACTCTTTCATTGCAAATCATTCTTCAATTTTCATAGCTTTTGAGAGCCATTTTTGTGAAGCTTGTGTTGTGTTCTTGAGCGTTCTTAGTTTACTCATTATCCACTCTTAAAGAGAGTATTGTTCTTGAGTGTACTTGTGTTCTTAGACACGTTGAGAGAAGGTATTTCTCTCGTTGATTCAAAGGAAGGTCTGTTTCCTTTGAAGGGTTCGTTGAGGTTCGTGTGACTCGAACTCTCAAGTTGTAACGGTTTGTTAAGCACCCGCAAGCTTAACGAGATAATAATGTAGCTCGAGAGAGTCTCTCGGGAGGCTGGATTAGCCACAAGTTGTGGTGAACCAGGGTAAAATCGGTGTGCCTCTTACTCTTCCCTTTACTTCTCGTTTATTCATTTTTTAATCCTGCGATTTTTTGATCAAACGCTATTCACCCCCCCTCTAGCATTGGTCTATCTTTCTAACAGCAACTCCACTATATTAGCTATTTGGGTGTTAAGTCCAAATAGATATCGGACTAACGTTTGAGAATCATTTTCTTGAAGATCACATGTCATCAAGAGCTCTTCAAATTCCCGAGTATAGTCCTCAACAGACCGGGTACCTTGCCTTAAGTGTTGAAGCTTAGCAAAGTTGTCTCGTACGTATTGTTTGGGCAAGAACTTCTTCTTCAACAAGCTCCGCATTTTGAACCAAGTCTTCACCGGAGCCTTGTTTTCACGCCTTCTTTTGGTGGAAAGATTGGACCACCAAGTGGGCGCATACTTTCGGAACTTCAACGCCACAATCTTGACTTTCTTATCTTCGGGCACATCTTTGAAATCAAAGACACGCTCAACTGTTTCCAGCCACTCTAGAAAGTCGTCCAGATCATTCTTTCCTTCAAAGGTTGGTATGTCAACCTTAAAATCAGTAGCTCCCTTTTCTGGTGCAGTTCCTCTAGTAGTGTGACTAAAATCAGCTTCTAGTCGAACTTCTTCCTTTTCTTCATCACTTTCTTCCGGAGTGTTCACTAAGTTCATTTTTAACTTAGTGAGTTGAGCAACCTGTTTTGCCAAGTACTCGGGCTTTGAGCTCGGTATTAGAAACCCAGAGCTCTTCATTGGTGATGCTTGGTGAAGTGTTTGACATATTGAAGAGAGTGAAAGGACAGGGTTATGGCAGCAGTTTAGGCCGAGAAATGAAAGAAGAAAGGAAAAGAGTTGGAAGTGTGTTGTATGGCCTCAAGAGATGTTCAAAAACAAGCTCTGATACCAAATGATAGGCACCCACTCCAAGGTAGAGAGACACAATTGGCAGTAAGGTAAAGGGAGGAAGTTATAAGGCTATATTGGTGAGGTTTTGTGCAGGGAATGGAAGATTTTAAGGGAGGGAAGACTAGGAACGAAATTGGCAGTGGGGAAGGAGTATTTTTAGGCTTTTGTTTAAGTGCAAAAGTGGAGAGAAAAGTAATATTAGGGTGGTGGATGGGAGCATGCCGAAAATAAGGGAGAAGAGAGAGGGAAAAACAGTTTAGTATTTCTTTGGGATAGATAAACCAAGTTGGTGTTAAAGAGATATTACACACTCTTCTCCTCACTTGGGGTTCAATCTAGAATTTAATTAAGATATAACACACTTAATCAAATATCTAGAACCTAACACTCACACTTAAGGAAACCAACCTTAAGATATAGAAATTAGGATTTAAAATAACAAACACAATGGTTTATTACTTGGAAATGAAAAGGAATAC